AGCCGGGATAAGGCGTTCCCACGTGTACTGGAGGAAAGCGCTGAGTCGGGGATCAAACTGACGCCTTTTGCTTCCCAATCGACGTCATCACTAGCCATTGCGCTATCCGCGTTATCATTGCATGGTTATATATGGTTGTTGTTATACTGTTCATTAATGGTATCTGACGTTCTGGTGGATTTCAGCTTTTTCGGAGCCGTGTTCTACGAGTCGTCCACTGAGTCTTCCACGTGGAGACAATCGCACAGAGTTCACATGGATGAGTAATACAATGGTAGCTGTTCATGACAATCTAGTGATCGTGGGCTGTTAACGATTAATGCCGATGTTCATGGTGCGTAGGCGAACAAATTGAAATTGGGCGATCAATGAACATGGGAAACAACACGAAAGAGGAACTAGACAGAATAAAGAGAGCAAAAATCTTGGGCCACATTTGAGCCCGTCAAAGAAGCCACTGACTAGCTGAAGAACCCGAACATCCGCACTCGTATTTTCGATTCAACGGTTCTCCCAGCGTTCTGCTTTGCTGTGGAGATGTGGCTGATACTTCAACCACGTCAAGAATATTGCGCACTGCTCAGAGAGCGCTTAAACGATGTCTCCTGAAATATAACCGGCATTCTCATTATCTAGATGGAATGCGAAGCTCTGGTCTTCGAAATCTGTCACATCTTCGAGATCCAGGAGTGTATATATCGATAGCGTAACATAGATGAGCGGTCACATAATGAGAAGAACAGACGACAGATGGACGAAAAGAACAGTAGAGTGGACTCCACAAGAATACAGGCATCCCTAAAGACGATTACCTACACGATCGGCGGACGCATTCGTAACCATAGTTGGCTGTACTCGTAGCTGCTGTTGTTTTTTAGATCGCAGTATGAGAATTGCAAGCGCCACCATTCTCGAATAAAACCACCACCATGGACGACGATTGCGAATAAAAGAAACGAATGGCAAATGTGCTGGGGTCTGCACAACTGTTGAAGACGGACCGTCCAAGTATTCAAATAAGTAATGCCGACCTTAATAAAATGTCCGACTTGGAAATTACTGCAAGTTATTGGTTCTTTTCTTTTCACATTCAGCAAGCCACAAAAGTTCGTTTTTTTTTACTTTTTCTTTTTTTAACACTTTTTTTCTGCATGTGTTGAGACCACATAAGTCTTCTTAGGTGTCTTCACTAGACCTACCTATATTATAAAGTTTTACCGATCCGCATAGAACTCAGAATTTCTGAAGAACTGGGAACATTGGGAATTTTCGATGAGACGTCGCGTAATACATCTTTAAAAACCTTTAATATTTATTTCTATGTTCTTATGAACTGATATTTTTGAGCTGATGCGGCGTTGGTATAGTTGTTGTTGGTGTTGTTGGTCGAAGGCTGACGTTGCGGCGATTTCGCCCTCCTCAGAGCCGTGCTGTTACGAGTGGGACTCACTTACAAGGCGAAATCGCCCAAACGTCGACCATGGACAAGCAACAAGTATAACAACCTTGCATCAGCTCAAAAAGATCAGTTTATAAGAAATATAAATAAATATATCGATTGTTTTTCCGAGGTTTATAGAAAGTCGGCGTTTTTAGTTGTTAAAACCCTTAATAGTTTTTTGATTTCTTTTCTGAACCTTGTGAAACACTCTATAAATTCCAAGATGAAACTGTTTGTTTAAATTTTAAACCATGGTTAGGGTAGTTTATTCAAGAACAAATTTCTATCACTTGGTGAACAACTCTTCAATGAATGGAATGATTGACGACTGCGATTGGTGATATATATGAGATGCGACTAAGGATTGATACAATACTAACGTCAGATGATGATGATATACAGTACTTTCTTAAAAATCGGACAGTTTGTTCTAGCTCTTTCTCGTTTAGGGCGAATAAAAAATTCTGCTTAGATTCTTCGCATACAGATGCACCAAGAATTTGACTCTATTCGTGGCATTGTAGGGTTAGTACTGAATGTATATTTGGTCAATGCGAGTGCCCATCGATGCATCGAGTTAGTCTTTCTATCCTCTGAGACTAGTTTGCAACCAGTTTACCGAACGCCGGGGTGTGGGGTTCCTCTCTAGGCCAGAGGCTCGAAATCAAACCAATGTGACCTTTGCAAAGCACCTCAAACCACAGCGCTCCCTCCACTCTCGTTTACAGTGAAGTAACATCAAGACTGTAATTTTTGTCTATGATTTTAATTATCATCTTCGAATTTCAGAAATCAGCATCAAACTGTATTACTTGGAATGTTCATCTACTACAACGAATTTCTTGGCTAGGCGGCTTTTTGCGTGTTCTACATTTTTGCATTTCTAAAGCTTTTCTAAAGTTGTGCAACGTAATATGACAAAAGTAGACCTAAAAATCCACTATAGCGAGGCACTACCCATAAAGATAACGATAAAGATCTCGGCGTTGTCCAATTCCTGAGGGATGCGCCATGCATTCGACTTCATTAAACATCGTTTGGACGTGATTGAATGCATATCTGGCCTTTACAATGACTCGCGGTGGTCTACCGATGTATCGAGCCAGTGTTAGTATCCTCCCAGGCAAGTCTGGTAGCAATTTGCCCGACCCCAGATGGATAGATGGAAGACTTGGTGGACCATTGGCATGGGGATCGATCCAACGTGTGTATTGCAGGGCGCCTCGGACCACTGCCATCAATACTATGGGGAAGATTTTGGGGAAACTTGTTCTCCAAAGGTTCTTGTTTCAGATGGAATTAAGTTTAGTAAAAATTTCTATCAGATTACTAATATAAACCTTAAAATAGAGACAATTCTGGCTTTCCTGTATTACCCATCGCAAGCCTAGTCGGATGACGTCATGGCTTGAACGATGACCGAAGGAGAAGATAGGCTTTGTTCATCGAAACATCGAAAAATGAGTGGAGTTTTGCGCTTCTATTCCACTTGTGGATTTCTCGTCCTAGAATACCCATGTCGTCTTAAATGTCAACATATTCGTTCTTGATGAAAAACTGAATCCATATACGCTAACCGTTACTTACGGTAAAAGGAATACGTAAGGATAAAACGTTCACCGACTGATCAATCCTTTAGAAACGAACCATGTGTACGATTGGATTCGTAGCGTATATAATTGAAAGCATATCTTGCTAATTTACACAATGACTTGCGGTGGTCTATGGATGTATTAAGTCAGTGTTTTTATACTCCCACGAAGGTCTGATACCACTTTGGCGACTCTGAAGAGATGGAAGGTTTGATGAACTCACAGAGTTCGGGATTGAACTAGAGGCCACGTGTGTATTGCTGAGCACCTGTAATCACTGCTCTACACGTTCCGCGTTATTCCTATTCAGTAAAACAACCATTATAACATTGTACTGATGCCGCTTATATGGTATTCGAACTACTTAAAATTCTCCTTTTTCGTTGATCGTTTAGTAGTTGTTTTTACTAGTCAAAAAATCAAATTCAATATGACCATGGATCACTTTGCACTTCTTCTTCCTTTAACATACAAAGAAATGAAACTCATTTTTTTGCTCAGCTTATTCAACAACTCAATATTTCTAGTGTGACCAGTCCAGAAAACGTTTCAGACTTCTACAAATCCACGAATATTCCACAAAATCCTCGGCTCGAACCGCATCGTGATTGTTTCCATTTCTTTTGATCTCTTATGGTTCCGATCTGAACCACTTTCTCGAGCAATATACATATCGTTTCATGTTGTTCCGATTCACGAAACCTTTTTTTATAGCCTTATTTTGTGGTTTTTTTTAAATTTGTACCCTCACCGCTATCCCTTGAATGAATGCAGGACCTACGTCGTAGAGACATAACAGAATATCCTTGTTATTTAAAGCGTTCGGCATGTTAACCCATGAACTAGATCAATAAAAAATGTGGTTCAAGGCATGGTTGAAGGAATTCCTTTCAATGTGGACTAATAGAAATAAGTGCTATCTCATGTTAAAATAATAAAAAGGATTAAGCTCTCGGCGTTGCCGGCCTTTAGAATGGCTTGCGGTGGCCTACCGATGCGTCGAACCAGTGCTCCTATCCTTCCAGACAAATCTGGTACCAATTTGCCGACCCCGGAGGGATGGAGGGATAGGTGGGCCATGGGCGCGGGGATCATCGATTCCACATGTGTGTTGCAGGGCGCCTCCGACCACTGCGCCACATGTGCCCTTACTATCTCATGTTAAGGAAGATATTTCCTCTAGCGGAATTTCTGGCAATACTGATTTGGGTTTATTTTTAGCCAACCATTGCGTTCTTCTTGTATATGGCCCAATTAAGTTTTGTTGTCGGACGTTCATTTCTTAAAACTATCGAACCTTTACTACGTTTGTCCACGTTCTATCTTCTATCAATTGTTCACTTTTGTTTCAAGCTTAGGAAGTAAAGTTAATTAAGTACAGTAAATACAAAGAATAATGAAAGAATAGTCGATTTTTAGTATTGTCGTCGATTTTTCTTTAGCTGAAATACATTCAGCATCAGACCACCTTAAAAACTAATTTTTATTAGATCTCGGCAAGAATACTCAATATTGTTAACCTTTTATTTTCTGTCTACTATAATTTTTCACAGCAGGGTATGATGTGAAATACAATTACAACGATGCTGAGATATTCGCAAAACTTGGACCGCGGGCCATTGTGATTTCGACTGCAGCCTCGGCTTAATTGGGTTCAATGCCGATTTGTGCTTTCCAGACCAACCCTGCTGACTGGTGATTGCTGGTGGTAGCGTTAGGTAGAAAACTAGCTGAGAGAAACGCAGAGTCAGGGCCACCGTAATACATTGTGTAATGCGCTATGTACCGGGAGGGATAATTGTGGTTCGATCTGGCTCGGGGTCCAAGTTTTGCTAATATTTCATCATCGTGGTTGTAATACTCAATATTGCTCTAGATTGTTGAGCTTACACAAAGCTGAGTTAGTCGTTCTCTTGGAGCTTTCAGAGCTAGCTCGTCGTCACTGAGTGTTATCATGTTTCAGAAATATGTACTATGATGGTATGGTTTTGAAATCGGTACTCGAATCGTTTGTCGATGATATTGCTGAAGAATCGAGTGAATTATTACCAGAACGACCACGGTACGCCTATGCAGTTGTCGTTGTCGCTGACGACCATGAAATATGCGAGGTGAAAGAAATTTTTACAAGAGTTCTTATAGTTGTTAGACCTTTATGAAAGGCATACCGATTTATAACGAGTCTATGTGTAAGTTGTTTCCAAAAAAACTGTATATAACTGTGGTTTTTGGTTTAGGCGAACTGTGTTCGACAACTGGACGTGGAAATTTTCCAGACACAGAACTCTATTATGTAAGTAAATCATGCTATTTTTAACATCATTCATCATAGCAGGATGGAAAAAGGCGCGTAGAAGTACCAAAATTGACACTAGCGCGTTCGTTCAATCCCATTCTTGATGTATAAGATTTTTCGTCCATGCTTTCTTGATATAAATCACAGACCACAAAGTCGTACGTTATAGTTGTAGTTAAGATCATCTTGACTCCCAGGTAAAAGGTGTAGAACGACGACATATCATTAGCAAACTTTCCTTAACAGTTAACTACTCACTTATACCATACGATAAGAGACAGAAGGTGGCCTAGGAAGGTTTGGGTGAGTAAGTCAGTGCTGGTTGAGATCGAACTCTATGAAGGAACTGAGACGTTTTGTATTTTGCAAAATAAGCCCTGAAACTTGACTGGAAAAGATAGTAACATTAGGTTTGAAATTTTGTAATAGATCGGTTTCAATAAAGACAACCAATAAATATACAAGTGATAAACAACTTTTAAAGAGGAAGTATCGTTAAGAAATATATAAATATAATAACGTAGAATAAAAGACAAGCAACCGCGAAGTTCTCTAGCTAAAGAATTGTGTTTCAGAGGTGTGGCAAGAGAAAAACTACACGAATGTAGGAAGTGCTTGTCATGTTGTATTTTTTATTCAGAGATAATGCTCCTTACGATTCCGATATTCAACGAGCTCTTCAAGAACTGATAGAGTCCCGAGATCTACTTGTTACACCACGCCAAAGCATGCTTGTCGACACTTCGAAATATGAGGTGGGTTATGATCACTCCAAAAAAGCCGCTGTCATCAGTTACCAGTTCTACTGTTGTTATTGTCCATTAGCTTCACAGGTCACCAGTGAAGTACCGTTTAGCGGACCCTTCCTTGCTCTACGGTGACCATAGGCTTCGTGCTTTTGTATGAGGGCCATCAGTTTTCCTTCTATGACGGGAATACAGCCACCTGAAGCGCTAATCCACCTTCATTAATGCATAGATCCAAATTAAACTGGTGTTGCATTGGAAATTGTATTTGTGTGGGATACTGTAAGTGGATGAATTCGTACGTCAATCTGAACCCATTATAAGCTAAACACGCCAAGGCATTGAAGCATTAGGAAACACAGAAAAACATTTGTGTCTTCCCGTTAGAATAACTGTGGCTTATCACTAAAGCGTTAAAACTGAAGTTTAACGCGTAAAAACCTATAACAGTAAAGGTACAAAAATAAAAATTGCATCAATTTCATGTTGATCAATACACTACGTGACTTGACTAGAAATAATATGTAAACATTTAAAAAGAGGACAAAGCTCTCGGCGTTGATCAATCCCTGAGGGATGCGCCATGCATTCGACTTCATTGTGCATCATTTGGAGGTGATTTAATGTATATCTGGGCTTTACAGTAACTCCCACGACCGACTTTCTATTAACCTCGGCATTGATCAAGTAATTCTTCGTATTTTTGTTGAGCAAACGCGAGGTGTTATTATTCTTTATTCACAAATGAGCTGACGTTTCGGCGGATTTCGCCTTCCTCAGAGCCTGGAAAGGTCAAGTTGACAGCAATCTACTTGGCCAGACGCCTCCATAACCAAACAAAGAAACTCTAAACCAAGATTTCAATCAGGTTGAACACAGCTTTGCACACTCACCGCTTTCTATGAGGTTTCCACTAAGCATTTCACGTAGAGACCAACCGCACAGAAATCACATGGAAGTATAATGTACCCCACTCATCAGAATAGCAGTCTTATATACTGCCCTACATCACGCGTGATAATGAGGCATTCTTCCCTGCGGTTCATTTTCGGATTTCTGGAATTAATCCAGAGTGCCTCGAGAGTTTTTCGCGCCTGTGTTCTTGATTCGCGTGCAAGGGTCGTGACACATACTTCAAAGTCCTCCCCGTTATGTCTCTGGGTCCTATGCGTGCCTAGCGGAGTATTTGGTCTATGTTTGCCGGCTAGGTGTTCTTTTATGCGGACACAGAGGGGTCTGCCCGTTTCGCCAATGTATTCGTCACCGCACGTCTTACAGGAGATCAGATAAACTATACCCGAGCTCATGCAATCACCGTCTCTACCACTGGGGCAAATTATGCAGTTTTGAGTTGCACATAGACGGTCATATAGGCGGTTTCGAACTAGCTGGCGCTTAAGATTACTCGGTGGTATTTCAACTACGCGTACCGAATTCTCTAAACCCGCCCTTCTTAAGCAGCGTTTTATAGCTGTACTTATATCATTTGAGATAAAGGGTAGGATAAACGGGACCCTTCTATCGCTAGAGTTGTTGTCTGGAGGCCTAGGATTTCCCCTACACCTATCCTGAGCTACAGTTTCGTAGCCATTAGAAATGGCTATTTGCCGTGCCAAGTTTCGGGACTCCTCTCTCTGTTCTCTTCCCGTACACACGTTGGTTGCCGTTCGAAACATGTTTCTTATAAGCGCCCTTTTCGTGTGAGAGGGGTGAGAGGAGAGGTAATGAACCAAAATGTTTTTACTACTTGGCTTTCGGTACCATTTTGTCATGTAGCCATTCTCCGACAGGTGAATTTGCACGTTCAGAAATGGAAGCCATTTTTCTTTCGGTTTTTCTCGGGTGAACTTGATGTACTCTGACTGCGTGTTTAACAACTCAAAGCATTTGTCCATTTCCTCCTGTGTTGAGCAAAGGACAAAGCAGTCGTCTACATACCTACAGTAGAGTAGCGGCCCGAGATCAGTCACCGGTGCTTCCACTTTAGACATAAATGCAATGGCAAGGCTTGGAGCCAGTCGTTGTCCCATTGCCAACCCTCTTATTTGAGCGTAGTACTTTCCGGACCATCTGAAGATTGAGCAGCTCAAGCATTCTTTTAAGAGTGCCATCAACTGCTCTATCTTGAAGCCATACATGTTTATTTCTCCTTCGTGTTGTGTAAGGAGTTCGAATATGGCTTGCATTGCGGAGTCATTCGACACGTTTGTATAAAGGGCGGTAACGTCGAAGGACTCCATCACGCACGCGCTGTTGGGCTGCGCAGTACGTAGACGATCCAGAAACATCTGGGTATTCGTAAGATGGGCTGGAATGTGTTTCAACAACTGGTTAAATATTAGGGTTAAAAACCATGTTATCCTGTCCGTTGGCCCGTAAAAATAAAAATTGCATCAATTTCATGTTGATCAATACACTACGTGACTTGACTAGAAATAATATGTAAACATTTAAAAAGAGGACAAAGCTCTCGGCGTTGATCAATCCCTGAGGGATGCGCCATGCATTCGACTTCATTGTGCATCATTTGGAGGTGATTTAATGTATATCTGGGCTTTACAGTGTCTCGCGGGGACCTACCGATGTGTCCAGTCAGTGGTGCTATCCTCCCAGACAAGTCTGGTACCAATTCGCAGATCTTAGAGGGATGGAAAGCTTGGTGGGCCACGGGCGCGGAGATCGATTCCACGTGTGTGTTGCAGGGGCCTATAACCACTGCGCCACGCGCGCCCTATGTAAACATTAGATACCAAGAAAACAAATCAACCAATAAACGTGGGAAACTGCCTTATAACTGAATACATACTGATTATATCGAATCGTACCAAATCAGTGATAAGCTTGTGAAGCTCCGTCCTCTACTTGATTCATGTGTTATGCACAGATTCACTATGAAAGTTAATTTAATTTCCTATACAAATCGCCACAACACACGCTATCGTTACCATTTAGTGATCCGACAACGCATGGATTATTTTCCATCGTTTGTATTTTTGACTCTTTTCTTTTCGTCCTTTATGATCATCTTTAAATCCGCATCTTCAGGTCGCAAATTCGAGCAATATCGCCTGCCTATTAGAAAATGCTGAGGCTGAAAAGCTTGTCGTCGACGACGTCGATCATTCAGCGGTGCTTGTTAAGAAAAGTGCTGTACAGGTAGAAAACGTTTGTTTCGTCTGCCGAGATCAGAAAAAACATCGGCCATTACTTTTACATGTATTAGACCACTTACAGACCTCAACAGGAGTTCATAGAGCCGTACCTTACTGGGCTAATTAAAATTACTTAGTTACTTATTTGGGTACTCTGAAGAGCGCGTCTTAACGAATAGTACAGGTACCAACACAATTCCCATCTGACTAAACTCTTTCTAGTTGGGCAGATTCTCCTTCCTATAGCCTCGACATAGGTTGCTCCAGTGTGTTCGCATATCATCAGCGCAAGCAGTTACCATCTCTCGTGGGTTGAGCTAGTGTCGAAGCCTTACGAATGGGTTTCTTCAAAAACAGTGAAAGCTTTAAAGCAGACCTGCTCCGTCCTGCTGGTGGCCGTGATGATATATGTTGAACTATCTTTGCTGTGTATTGACTTAGATATTCAGAAACACATTGCTATACAATAACATAACTCCTAAGCATTGGAAGAATTAATTAAGTTGTAAGTTGAGCTTCAACAGAATTCTCTTCTTTAAAGTCCTCGTTTCAGTTTCCATCGATGCATCGTCCACGCAACTAACACGAAGCAAAGCTGTCAACATCTCGATTCAAGACTGAACTTTTCCAAGCATATCAATTTTATGACATTGTCGTTTACTTATGTTTTGACTTACAGATCTCATAAACGTACAAACCATTTGTCAAAGATAAAATTTACTTGATAATTGATATTTGAATGGCCCGTCCTCACCGGTTTCGCGGGCCCCAGCATAAACTCCATTTTTTGGAGATTTGCTGATTAAGCCATTGTGGTTCTTTAGAATCTTGAGGTCATCCTGGCCAAAGTCCACTCCACGCAGTCGTAGCTCTTGTGGATCAGAGGGAGATTTGCCACCATGTGCCTTTAATACCAGAGCGGTAGTGGATCCTGGTATTGGTTTACTTTTAGCCAGCCTTGCTGATGGAAACGCCGGACTCGTTCTCAGCTTGGAAGACCATGCCAGGGAATGAATCCCCAGCTGTACATCGCGGCCCGACACCCAAGCACACCTCCCAGTCACGATGAGGCGGTAAACCGTTGGAATGACACAAAATTTTAATGGAAAGAATGAAAGAAGTGAAGATGAGGTGTGATAACGTATTGTGCGTTCTGCACAACGGCGATAACACGTGTCAAAGTGTTATCAGTTAAGGTTTTTCTTGCCTATGGACATATCGTCAGGATTCAATACGTTTAGTGACCGACACCTACGAACCTCTAAAGAACAAGAGCTATGACATGGGTATAGCTTATGGTTTATGCAAGCCATTTAATTTTATTCTGATCTCTATTCTGTTGATGGAGGAGACATTTTGGATAACGTAGTTTTCAACACATCTTGGTGAATGCTCGTGTGATACAGTGGTTAAAGGTCCCGTGCAATACACAGGTAGTCGTCGGTTCGATTTTGCGTCGCGAGCTCAGCAAGCGTTCCACCTCTCCGGAGTCGGCAAATTGGTAACAGACTTGTATGGGAGGACAGTAGTACTGACGTGATATATCGACTGGCCATTGCAAGTTATTTTACAGGTTAGACGTGTGTTCGATCTTCTCTAACGATGGGTACGAATGGAGTGGAATGCATGCTCCAGCCCTCTGGGATTGATTAACGTCGAACGATTTGTTCCTTCTGTCCTTAATTCAGTCGATCAGCTTTAGAATTGGATACCCGAAACTTGAAATGAAGCTCCATAGATGTACATAATCTATAATATGGTTTGTAACAGGGAAAACAAAAATGCTTCTTATCCTGTACTACGGTAAGTCTATCCCTTTATCTGATGAGTATTTCTTGTTTATTATCACAAATACGTATCAGTCTTCGTTTACTTGAAACGTTTTTTGCTGCTAAGCAAATCCGTTTCATCGCTGGTTTATGTTGCCTAATACCCAATGGCGCAGTGCTCGGAGGCGCCCTGCACCACACACGTAGAATCGATGCCCTCGCTCATGGCCCACCAAACCATCAATCCCTCTGCTGTCGGCAAACTGGTACTAGACTTGTCTCGGAGAATGGTAACACTGGCTCGATACATCGGTAGGTCACCATGAGTCACTGTAAAAGCTAGATATGCATTCAATCACCTCCAAACGATGCTTAATGGAGTCGAATGCATGGCGCATCTCTCAAGGATTGGTCAAAGTTCAAACCTTTATCCTTTATCCCTTATTCTTTTAATCCTGAATGATATCCCATTAACTAAGATACCACGAGGAGATCTACGCGGTAATTTGACGGAAGATGCGAGACATTACATTGATATTAGTCAGTAGTAAAAACACTTGAAGAGATTCTCCGTCCGATTATATTACTTCAGTAACAACCGGATTTCATTGATGCTCAGTTATAACGGCTGTAAATTATAGTTGTCATATTTTACAAGGCATTGATCCAAAATACTAGTACGAGTCATATATGACTCTTACCAACAATTAGCAGCGCCATGAATACATGAATCGGTTTTATGAGGGGTTGTCGTCATTTTCATGTGAAAAACGGCATATTAACAACGACTAAACCAGAATCGAATGAAATATTCTGAAAAATGTTTAAAATGATCGACAAAAAATAATTGGTTTAAATTTTACTCCTGTTGAAACCTCTGGTCATGGGATCGTGATAGAGAAATGTCTTGAGGTATTTGTTACGAGATGGCGACGAAACATCTGGAACAGCACGTGGCGTTCTATTTCTTCATTGATTCGAGACCTTTCTATTGTCAGAACTCGTGTGATGATCGTCATTACAATCACAACCCTTCTGTTCCTTATCAGAAATGTGATGGTAAGTACTAAAAGGTCTCTGTCGTATACAGGTTCACAGCAATCTCTACTCATTCGAAATATCATTATCATCTTCCATGTTTTACCCAGCCAGTCCTTAGCTTTGCTTACGAGCCAGCGAGACCCTCCTTTACTTCATGATCAGGCGACTGATGCCAGGGTTATCTATGAATGATAAGTCACTACTGATATGTCTATCAGTGAGTAGGAAAGTCAATGTGTAAAAATCACCTTCAATATTCCAGTGAGTTTATCAGGAAGCAATGCATCGAATATCAAAGAATTTATGAAAAAACCTGTGTATTTAAGCAATTTTGCATCAGTATTATTGCATCTAATTTGATTTGAAACCAGATGGACTCGGGTCCAGAATTTTTCAGGTTGGATGGGTTATCCCTTTGCAAACACGTTTTTGTAGCTCCGAGTTTCTTTCGAAGAATAAATTAAATTTACAATGAAATACAACCACAATGATGTTGAGATATTTGTAAAATATCTGACCGCAGGTGTCTGCTGTGGGGATCGAACACGCCATTACCCTTTCCGGGGGCTAACGCGTTCACCATCACCACCACACCATGCGAGTAGTTCGTTTCCGTGCTCTCTCAGCTAGTTTCCTATCTGTCTGTGCCTAACTAACTTATCTAAATTCGCAGCATTTTACAGGCGGCCCCGTCAGAAGTGGCATGGAAGAGTAAATGTGAATTCTTTCTACAAAAAATTCCCGGAATGAGTCCAATGGTGTTAACTGATGAGAACGGAAAGAAATGTCGAGGTGTAGTGGAGATACCGCTCTGTAGAGGATATTGTAAGACCTCTGAGGTTTGTTTACTTCGGTATGCTATTTATATTTTAATTGTAAACACGATTCATAGTGCGCAAGATGACTCCAAGATAGGGGACTCACATCAATTTTCGATGTATTAATAATTTGTTATGAGAATGTTTGATCTACGGATTATGAAGCGTTTCACAGCGAAGACCAGAAGGAATCGATAAATCGATAACTCGATATGTTTTTGTTCAACATGCGAGAACGTTATAGGTGCTATTTAAAAAAGACGTTATAAGTGCTATTTAAAAAAGTCATCTCACCTCTTGAACAAGTTTTCGCAGAGGTAAAATGAACAGATTAAAAAAATAGAACTCTCGGCGTTGATCAATCCCTGAGGGATGCGCCACGCATTCAACTTAACCAAGGAGCGTTTGGAGGTGATTGAATGCATATTTGGCCTTTACAATGACTCGCGGTGCCCAACCAATGTATCGAGCCAGTCTGTTATCCTCCCAGACAAGTCAGGTACCAATATGCCCACCCCGAAGGATGGAAGGCTTAGTGGACCACGGACGCGGGGATCGATCCCATGTGTGTGTCGCAGGGTGCCTCCGACCACTGCGCCACGCGCGAATGAGCAGAATCTGAAAATATGAAGGCAGACATAAGGTAAAACTTCTGGCATTGATGAATTTCTGAGAAATGCGCCATGCAATCCACTTCACTAGGCGTCGTTAGAGGTAACGGAATGCATATTTGGCCTATCCAGTGATGTGCTGGATGTAGATCAGTGGTTATCCACCAAGTTACTGGTTTTGTAACCGCAAACAACTCTGGCATTGCTTTTCACGACTACAGTGGGATAAACGGATTCATTAGTTATCTTGGAATGTAGGATCGAACCAACGATCAACGATTTAAGGGCAACATTACGACTGCACAGTTTAGGGAGCTTACCTACTCACTTAAATATCCACTGGTCTTTAATCCTTTTAGTGCTTGTAGAATACACTTATGTAAAATTCAAGCCCTGCCTACTGCTATGATCCATTTTGAGAGTTGAGATGGTGTACTTAGATACTCAGATGCTTGGATGGCTCGTCTTCACTGGTTGTGCGGGCCTCAGCATAATTTGCATTCTCTGGAGATTCGGTGGTTTAGCCATTGGAGCTCCCTGGAGCCCCGAGGTCAGCCTCGCCGAAGCCTTCCTCAGGTCCTTGCGACCTCAGGTATTCGCCGCCCTTATGGATCAGAGGGGCTTTGTCACTATGCGACTAGTTTGATACCAGGACGGTGGTGGATCCTGGTATTGATTTACTTCTAACTGGCTTTCCGGATGGAAACGCCGTAGTTCTTCTTAGCATGGGAAACCCTGCCGGGAGATGACCCAGCAACAACCACGATGAGGCAGTAAACCGTTGGGAGGTAATAGGTGATAAACTAACTAGCTACTGAGATAGTTTAATCGTTCTTAATAATAATGTTGGTCTGGGAAAGAGAGATCGGAAAAGATGTTCATACGAGTGTAAAATCGCCAGAGACTGAAGTCTTAGCTAGGTAAGGAAAAATCAAATCATTAAATGTTACAAAAAGATACTTTATAGAGTGGCACATACACATTTCCATACCGAGTTCAAAACAGTTCCGCTTGTGCCCTGATCGTCACTGGTACTCAGGTTGGTCTTCAAAGCTTTCTATCATTGAGTTTACTACAACAAGATAAGGATCGAGTTCAGGTGATTCCACTGACAGACTGTGACGACGGTGTTAGCGAAAAGATTAAATCGGTTTCGCTACCAACTGGTCAGAAATGCGGTTGTAAGAGATTCCCGTTTGATTGAGTGATGTATGAGTATATTACAAATGGTAAAGCATATAACTTTTGCAACAAAAATTTGTTCGCTCTTTCATGTCTTATTCACTACAAACATAACGAAATTGTTGAAGAAAAAAAGAAGAAGAAAAGATAAAAAAGTGGAAAGATAAAAAGGAACTCCGTCTTACAGCTCCGCCTCCTCCTTGGAGTGCGCGCAATAAAACGCTCTTTAGATTAGTAAGGCAGTATGAGTTCTGTCTAATGGTAAAGTAATTTATTAATAAAAAAGTTCATCGAAAAGGAATCGTGTGGTAAAAAACGTTTTCAACCGTACCAATATGCAATCCTCACATCCGCAATCTTAAAAAATTCCTAAGTTAATTATCGATGAAGAAGGAGGTATTCAATAGAAGAGAACACATGGGGGAAATAGAAGAAAGCTGCGCAGTACAGAAAGGAAGCAGTGAAGAATAAAAAAAATAAAAGCTCCTGGCATTCATCAATCCCTGAGGAATGTGCCATGTGCATTCAACTTCGTTAAGCATCGTTTGCAGGTGATTCAATGCATATGTGGCCTTTAAGATGACTCGAGGTGACCTATCGATGTATCGAGCCAGTGCTGCTATCCTTCTAGACAAGTCTGGTACCAATTTTCCGACCCTGGAGGATGGAAGGGTTAGTGGGCTATGGGTGCGAGATCAATTCCACTTGTGTGTTGCAGGGCACCTCCGACCACTACGCCACACGCACCCTATCTTTGTTGTTGCGAAGAATAAATAATGAAAGGAATTAGCTAGAAACAGAACAAAATGTCAAAAACGATGGAGCGGTAGTCACAGACGTTCATAGTCAGCTGCCATCCAGAATTATTTCATCTGGAAAGCAGTGCAGTACACGGAAAAGTTCAACTGACGACGTTTTTAGAAAATTTATTCACTTTTTAAAAATAATGAACCCAAGAATTTCGCTGTCTCTCGTGTCTGCAGAAAACAGTCATTCAGTTTCTAAAGCAAGGAGACGGGTGCTTTAGCAAATATATAAGGAGCACACTGTGTTGACGCTTGTATTCTAGGGGATATGATGTCAAATTATCTATAATCATAGAAAGTTTTTGGAAGAAAAAAATTGAAAAAGTAGGCCGAAAAAATGGACCATCAGTTATTAAGGGAATAAATTCCAAATGAATTAACTTTTACAATGCTGAGATATTCGCAAAACTCCGGACCGCAGGTGTCTGCGGTGGGGAACGAATGCGCTATTACCCTTTGTGAGGGCTGACGCGTTTACTACCACACCATGTGGGTCTTTCGTTTCGGTTTTCTCTCAGCTAGTCTTCTATCTAACAGTGCCATCAGCAATCACCCTTCAACGTCAACAAAACTAGGCAAGAGAAAAGCGAAACAGAGGACCCACATGGTGTGGTGGTGAACGAGTTAGCGCTCGGAAAGTGTAATACTGTCTTCGGTCACAACCTCAGACACCTGCGGTCCGGAGTTTTGCAAATATCTGAGCATCGTTGTGGTTATATTTCACATAACACCCTACCGTGAAAAATTGTAATAGGCAGTAAATTAGAAGCTAACATCATGTGAATGACGTTAGATAAAATAAGTCGAGGCTCTGAAAAAGGAGAAGTCACTCAAAAGATAGCCAAGGAATCATCACAACGACAACTGGTACCAACCTCTCGTCAGGTCGACATAGATAGTTCGTAATTTTTTCACATTCCAACGCTGACTGACGAGTACTTATCGGCAGTGGGTGACCATATCCCAGTCAAAACATTTATAGCAATCTCCAGTGGAAAATAGGTCTTCTAGTCAGACAGAATTAGTACCTGCACGATAGACGCGTGGTTTTTTAGGGCTGTCTGTGTTAAGTGAGGCAGACGCCCAAGTATGGTTACAGCATTTAACTCAAATTTTTGAATAGTGGTAGAGGAGTTACACGATTATAGTTGTTATTATAGCACTTATTAGCACACAATAGCTGAGAACGACAACCGATGGACAAGAGTCGTTAGTGACTGGATTCCTCGGGATGTAAACGTATCGCTGAAAGACCACCGACCCGATGGTCAGAGTTCCTCACGAAAAGATGTGTCTAGCTCAGATCAGAGAATCAGCCTGAGGTATGGCGGGAAGTCACGGGTGATCAGAAGGCACTCCTCCTTAAGATTCAATTTTGGGCTTTGGAATTTATCCAGAATACTTTGTGTTTTAAACGCTGATACTTTCGATTTCTGTGTAAGAATGATAACGTCCACTTCAAAGTCATCCCCGTTATGTCTTTATGTCCTCTGCTAGTTGAATGTTTGGTTCTAATTTAAATTTATTTTCTTGTTGTTCTCCCATACTGACGTAAAGTGTACCCATTTCGCCAACGTAATCGTCCGTTGTAGGACATCCGCCGTAGATTAGAGGACAACGAGCGCAACCACACTGACTGTTATCTGTACGCTAATTCGTGGTGCGTTGTGTGGTCCGCTTTTGTTCGACATATTCACTCACCAGTTCCGATCATATTTGTTGATTTTTCCTTCTCTGTGTTGTAAGTAAGTTATCGACTTTATCTATTGGGCTTAGCAGATTAGCAAAATATGTTTCATAACAGAATGATGCAACACTTTTCTGTCTTTCCGTATGTCCTGATTTTTGTTGTTGTTCATCCTCGTCACTAAATGTTCCCATTGTCTCAGTTCACGTCTGGAAATCCCCTCTGGTCGTGAAAGATGTTCGCTGCGTTGTGTTTCTTTCTGTGGTGACTGCACTTTTGGTTAAAATCAATAGTGCAGGACACGTGATAATTCCCCAACAGTTTTCAATCGAAGTAATGTTTTACAGTTTCCATTTAGTTCAAAGAAAACAGCATTCTCCCAATGTTTTGCTTTACTATAAGCCTATTGGAATCAATTTTCGCTGCTGCGGATATCTAAATTGATCGGTTCACGTGTGAAGGATTTCATCTTCAATAGTTTTTGAGCTTTGTTCGATTACACATACTATTACCTACTTATTTGCTTGTATACTTGGATGGCCTGTCTTCACTGGTTGTGCAGGCTCCAGTATTATTTTCATCTTTTCGGAGTTTTGCTGGTATTGCCACTGTGGTTCGTTGGAGCCCCGAGGTCAGCCTAGCCAAAGTCCGCTCCAGGTCGTCACCCCCACAGGCAGTCGCCGCCCTTGTGGATCAGAGGGAGATTTGCCACCATGAGAGTTTGATACCAGGACGATGATGGATCATCGTTTTGGTTTACTCGTAGCTTGGCTTCCTGGTGGAAACGCTGGACTCAGATTGGGAGACCGTGCTGGAGGGAGGAATCCCTCCGCTGTACATCGCAGCCCGACACCAAGGAACACCTTCCAGCCACGATGAGGCAGTAAACTGTTGTGGTACACATGCTTTTAATCTTCAGTATTTATATTTTTATTGGCGAGACAAGTGTTTTGTGTTCATTCAACGTGTTTAGCTTTTTTGCCTAGGAATCTACATTAGTACAAATGAAGCTGTAGGTTAATTGCTAACCTTTGTAAGAAGTAGTAGCATTATTGGATAAAATGCAGTTAAATGGTCCGTTAACTTCATCTTGTTTTCGTTCTGCATTTTCTTTCCAACAAATGCTGTTTTTTTTTTAAAATAAACTCTTCATTTCTTTAGACCTACGAGATCGCTTTTAACGCAGCATTTCGGCGACTTCGTCCTAGTACATAGTTGGACAATTCTTCGTTTTGTCCTTAAGGAAAAGAGAGTTGTTGATGAAGTTTCGATTCACCTCGATCACTTTTTCGATAAAAACGTGATGAACTGGAAATTCAAGCCATGAAGTGGTTCCGGTTTACTATTACACCAGTTCAAAGCGCAATCATCGAACTCCAGTTCACATTTCTCTTAAATGATTAGGCGATTATGTCCCTACGCTCTTTCCTTGGTGATCCTCGCTTAGCAGGTTTCGTTGCGATATCACGGTTGTTTTATTTCTGTTTCGCTTTCTAGTGTCCAGGTTGTTTTGTGTTCAACAATATGTAAATACAAAAACGTTGTGTGAATTCTGTAGCTAAGGACTGACATCCATTTACTATATACTTGTTGGGAAGTTCATGGGGCGATGGTTGTGGTAATTACAGTAATCTGAGTTTGCTTGTTTTCTTTCCTGTTTAACGTTCTCATATCAGGCTAACTATGTCGATTTATACCATATGTACAGAGATGAGTGACGAAAAATCTGATGCTGCTCTTGTAACTGAGGAACCAGGTAGGAACGAGAAATCTACCAAAGCCAAAGAAGTAGTTGCTGGTGAAGATGAAGTTCAACCTAGTCTCAATCCAATTCCACCGGCATGGATTTCGACGGGAGCCTCATGGTTTAACAGTGCTAAGGAAAAGTTGAGTTGGTGAACTGATCAATTTTTGTGTCTTACACTGCTTTGCAGTTAGGTTTTGGCTGTAACGTTTACTATTTTTTCCTTAGTGAAGTCTTCAATCTGTACCTAGTTGATTGAAAGTGATGAATATAATAATCGGATCGTTTCGTTGTTCAAAAAAGGCGCCATTTTTCAGACGATTAATACTTTTGACTTAGTTAAAAAGGATTTGGCAGAGTTTGGTGATGCTATGACGCAAGAAGTCGCAGATATTACTAATGCAGCAAAAGGAGGTTTGTAGTACATGGTTTACATTATAAATCAATGAACTGTCAAAAATAATTGTTCTAAGTTTGTTTTAGGAATTGGCGCCGCTACCAACGTTATTAAAGAACAAGCACATTTTCTGGAGAAACTCGTAACACCAGATGAGGAAGAAAACCCAGTAGTGAGGAATTCTCAGGCCAGCAATAGTGAGTCCGCTATTGAAAGTGTTGGATCAAGTTCGCAGTCAAAAGAGGAGTCGTTAGCTGCAAAGGTTTGTGTTAGGTGTATTGTTGCTAAACATTACCTTTCTTCATTATCTTCTTTTTCGTTTTTTTTCTTATCTTCCTTCATTTATTTCTGTATTATCTTTCATTCCCATGTTTCAATACATTTTATTCTCTGTTTGACTTTGACAGTCTATATCTCTTTAGTAATCGTATCTTATTTGCTGCTGTTGTTATTTATATCCTCACCCTCTGCCGAGAATATTTTAAGTTTCTCCTCAGTAATTCCAGGTTGAAAAGAGTGCGGTAATTGGATTTGGTTGGATGAAATCAGTTGTAAATACCGTTACCGATACAGTAAAGAGTTTGGCAATTGAAGAAACGACTGACGGCGAAGGTGATTTTACGGAAGTGGTCCGACCTCGAATTTTACGCAAAACGAATTTGTCAGCAGTAAGTTATTATTCTTTTCCATTTCATGACGTGGGCAAAAGCTATGGCGCTAGTTCTCCTTTATTAATGTGCCTATTTCACAGGATATACAATCACTTCGCAGTTTAACGTATGCTTAATACTGTTCCGGTCTTTTCGTTACTTGCTTCTTGAGATGTTATGTATTAAATAGACATTACTAAAATAGTTGATAGATCCACTTATTCGGCAACTCCATTTATGTCAAGTAGAGCAGTTTTTTCTCTTCTTTTTAAAGTGACTTGTGTTGTTCACATTACTTTTGCAAATGTCGGGACTCCAGGGAGGTAGGTAAAATGGGTAAACCAGCAAAACTTCGAAAAAATGGAAATTGTGCTGGGGCTCGCACAACCAAGTGAAGTTGGACCACACTAGTATCCAAGTATAAGTAAGTATGTGTTGGAACTGCAGGCAAAATTGTTGGAGATACAATCATCAGATGGGACATTTCGCAATGAACCAGAAAACTCTGATGCTTATTCGAAATGGATGACGCGGTTTAATATTGAAGAGTACGACGCTGAGATTAATGTACTTCTAGGAAGCAATCCATCGCTGAGAGAGATATATTCGAAAATGGTATGACTTGTTATCCAATGTATTTCTTCTATTCATTTCTTGTTTCTTTGTTGTCTTTCTTCTTTCTTTCTTCGTTGTTATCTCTTCTATTCAGAATTCGCTTCATCTTTTATTCAGCTTCCATATATGATCTAATTAGATCTGTTGTTTTCTTATCGTTGATTTCTTAGCGAGAGAGCATTATTTTGGATGCAAATTATCTATTCTGCACTGAAATGAATAGAAAGAAAACCAGTTATTATACTAATCTCCTATTGTTTTCCATTAGTGAATTTTGAAGGTTCCATCGGAATTAGATAGCAAGACCTTTTGGTCACGATATTTTTTCTCTATTCAAATTGCTGAAATGGATGAGGAATTGCGTACATCTTTTTCCCTCAAAGAGTTGTCTGTGGATACAGATGTACAAGGAAAGAATATTAAGAAAGGTAAGGTGAACAATTATATATATTTGAAAGTAGTAGTGTTATATTTCTTGGTGACGATTTGAAATAAATTAAATACTTCATTAACCATGATGTTACGCCTTCTGTGTAATGTCTTGACGTGCTCCACTTAGTTGTTAGAAAGTCCGATTTTATAGTTCAGAAAATTAGAGTTGTGTTTGCATGTTTTCTTTATATTTACAAAACTACATAAAGGTTTTAGTGGAACCATTATGCGTATCTCCTAAGCAGAATTATGGGGAATCGTCTGGGTCAGATGAGTCAATAACTGTGGTTGATCACCAACCAACCAGTGCGGCTGTCTCTGCAGATGACTGGAGTGTTTGCAGCGAGAAGAATTATGTTGAGGTTTTTCAAAGGGCTATTCTTGTTGTTTGCACTTTATTGTAGTAAAACCAAATATAGAGAAACAACGCTTTCTTTTTTCGCAGTGCTCTTCATTTGTTATGCCTTTTTAAATCTTCAAGACATTGTTTCTTGCTTCCCAACTTTTACTTTTCCCAGGTGTCCAGTAATGCAGTGGTGAGCTTCAAGACTTATGTTATTCTGTCTTACTATGAAAGATTTTTTTTGTGGTTTTTGTTTGTGCTCAACTTATTTTATTGCGTTGTGGTTTAAGGGCTCGGGTTTCTGTTCTACGCTGCGCTTCTTTTCTTTTTCATAAGAAGTGTTTTGTTTAGGAGATTAGTTCAACGAATGGTGATGATGAGCTGGCAGGACCTCTTACTCCTCGCCCGAAAGACGACGAAACATTGAAAACGGAGAACGATGTGAAGAAAAACGAAAATTGGGTGGACTGGGACGAGTAATACTGTGGCGGCTAAGGGATCGCCTTTTACATTTCACTTTTCTTATTAAGCCATTGTATCACAGAGCGCTTGTTATTTATAACCGTTTTGGGGCCTAAAACTCAACATACTTTCCACCTGACTGATAAAACAAATTGTTCTAAGCCTTTTAAATTGTTATTCATTATGTCTAATTTTCTGTCCAGCGTTAGTTGGAAGTTGTACAAACATTTTTTATTTTGAAATGTAGATATTGGGCTTAAAAGTTGGAGAAATATTTGTTATGTTGTAGTGGACTGTGCATAGAGAAAAAGTCGGTCAATAGTATTGCTTAGGAGCGTTTTCACATGGGTTTACTGTTTCATGTTCTTTTCAAACTTCATTTCTGATAATTTGTACATAGGATGTCTGATATGCTTTGGTTTTAATGTGTGAATACTATTTGTATAAAGTATGCCATTACGTGCATGAAGTACGTCAACGAGCGATTACGCGTTTTGTCTCTAGGAGTCACGATGCATTTTGTTTATACAAGTCGGTAGTACATTTGTTAAGTAATGGTATTCGTTTTGAAACTTGGTTAATTAAACATGTGCGTATGTTTTAGTGAAAATGAGTTCATGTAATCTTTCTTTGAAACATTTTTCTCCGCTTAGTTAATAACTGTGTCAATGTGGTTTGCTAATAAGGTGGAATAGAATTTCCTCTATTTTCGACAGGAATTAAGTATTGTCGGCCGCCAGTAAAAGGGCATTTTCTGCACTGCATGTTTATTACATTGTGGTAATGGGGATTCTACGTATTTTGTCACAATTGATAGTTTTCATTCTAGCGAGTCCAGAGTTTTTCGGCCATGAACGGACCTGGTTTTGTAGGCATCAAGTTCTGTCCAGAGTGGTGAGTTTCATTAGTTACTTTTCTTTTCTTTTTGTTTTCTCAGAAAGACTAGCATTTATCTAAACGCTCAGTTGTGTTGCCATGTTCGTGCTTCTATCTATCTTTCATATAGTTATAGAACAAAAAAGCAATAAGAAATATTTTGATGTTCTAGTAACAATATGTTGTATCCTCGCGAAGACAAAGAACATCGGCAGCTGATGTATGCATGCAGGAATTGTGATCATAAAGAGGTTGCGGATAATCCGTGTATCTATGTCAATAAACTCGTGCATGAAGTGGAGTAAGTGTGATGTATTTTCCTTTGGTATTGTGTTATACATAAGGGCGCGTGTGGCGTAGTGGTTGGGAATGCTCCACAAAACACATGGGATCGATTCCCTCGCCCAAGGCTCGCGAAGGTCTCCACCCCTCCGGGCTTAGCAAATTGGAACCAGAATTTTCTGGGAGGATACCAGTACTGGCTCGATAGATCCGCAAGCCACTACGAGTCATTGTCAAGACCAGATGTGCGTTCAGTCACCTCCAATGATGCTTAAGTTGAATGCGTGGCGCTTCCTGCATAAATTGATCAGCGCAAGGGGTTTTTTTTATGGTGTGGTTAAATTGTCTTATTATTGTGGTAGTAGATCTTACCATTGTTTCCTGGTTTACTCATTGTTCTTTTAGTGAATTGACTCAGATTTGTGCTGACGTAGTACATGATCCCACCTTGCCTAAAACTGAGGATCATCCATGTCCAAGGTGTGGAGGAACTAAAGCTGTGTTTTTCCAAGCTCAAACGCGAAGAGCAGAGGTATGGTTTATGAGACTTCACATATTAGATGTGCTCTTTAAAGGTTTGAATGACAGGGATACGGAGATGTGATTCACGAGACTTCAGTTAATGTAGATAATTAAATATAAGTGATTTGTAAATGAGATTACCAGACATGGAAGTGTGTCTGAAGTTGCAATGGAAATAAGTACTCTTTCAGAAAAGTTGTAGTCTTACGTTTATAATGAGGTCGTCCAAGATAGGTGTTTCCATGTTAATTTCAATCATTTGTGTGTGTCATGTACACGCTTTCTTTCTCTTAATTGTGGAAATACCAAGTACTGATGTAGGCAGTTTGCTGTATTTTACTATATGATCAGTTTTTCCCTTCTCCGAATACTTTAGAGTGGCAGGTTGTCTCTAGAACTGTTAACGAGTGCGACAGTCTAAGATTTGCAACAGTTTTACTACTTCAATAGTTTCATTTCTTCAGGAAGAGATGAGACTTTATTACGTATGCATGGATACTACGTGTAGCCATCGTTGGACGGAATAATACAGTTTTTGGTATTGTTTTGTGTTTATATTCGATTTATCACGTTTGTCTGTTTCATATGGTTTTGGAATGATGTTATTGTAAATAAATGCATATCTTCGACTAGTAAAATGATCCATGTCTAGTTCGAATAACGTAGAGTATTTCTACTTTGCACGAGTTCCTTGAAATCTTCGACATTATCAAACTATACGAATTGAGTAATATTTCTTTCGTCATATCACTTTGTTTAAGTCGCAGATCTTTGATTAATGCTGCGACAAAAAGCCTTGGTGGAAGTTCTGGCTCAAGTTAATACTGGCGATATTTCTGGCTCACTGCTATTCAATCGTGAAGGTGCGCATAGTGTTATGTTTTAGAGATTGTATCGTTATATATTTATGACTTGTGTTCACGTCCTCTTTACTTTTCGCTTTTGTTTGTTACTTTTTGTCGTACTGAGTGTTCTCGGTTATTTTAGGTTATATAAGTTGTTGTGCGTGTTTGTTAGGACACCTCATTGGCACATTTTGGATATAGCTTTAAGCCTAGTTCTACTAAATTTTAGTAGTAAATGAAGGACCGTCAAAATATGAGGACTTCGAGTTTAATTTTGAATATGAAAGGATTTAGGACTACTGATAGCCTATAGTGGCTATCTTGACAGTAAGGATCACGCTAATGTGTCTGCCGCGTTAATCTCAAGTATATGGGAGTCATTTGATAGGAAAGGTAATTGCTTTATCTTTAATACCTTTTTGCTTTACTTGTTTCTGTCTTAACCGCTGTTTCTCATGGTGATGTCATAATGTGCAACTATACTTTAGGTGGACGTGAAGACTTGAAGGAGACATTGATCATGTGTGAAGACGGAGTGATGGCAGCAACACGAGTAGCTAATATGTTACTTGCACTCAAGGTTTCTTTTATTGGTGTTTTCAGTTGGTGTCCTAGCCTAGTTTTCTTCACATTTGGTCCACCGTTTTTCAGCTTTTCTGCTTTTTTGTGCGTTGTTCAGATCCGCTTTTTCTCCTTCGTTTTCCAAATTCGTTCAAGTTTTTCATATGGAAGCTGTGTCGCGCTTATAGAGAAGAAATGCTTTGTTGCTTTCATAGTTTTTTTTTCTAGGTCACTGAACAAATCCATGTTTGAGTTTTGGGATCTTCTGAGAAAAGTTGATATTTTTCAAGGCTTCGAAAAGCTGCCATTTGGGGTTGGTTCGAGCCAAACTTCATGCGCTTGCCAAGTATCTTGAGGACCCGATTTCTGCTGTTTCTCATAATACGTAAAGGTCTGTTATCGTTCTTTTTTATCCCGTTTTTCGTCAGTGTAATAGGGTGATGTCGCGTTGCTGTAATATACATATATGTATATATATGTATGTATGTATATATATGTATATATACACGTATATACGTATATATACATATATACATGTATATATATATATATATATCTGCACACAGAGAAGTGAATCGAATTACCTATTGTTCACTAATGCGTAACTCTGTAAGAATACAAAGTCTACATGTTACTCATTGTTCATTTATTGTATTACTCAGACGACTTCAAGAAGACGCGAAATCTTAGTCCATGGAGGAGACGGTCTACTGCAGTAAAGCTGCAAGGTATTTGTGTTATACATGTTCTCAGTGTCATCATCACTTAGAAAATTGATTTCTGCTTGAAGTTACTATATATTTGATGGAGTGGTTTATATTCGCTATAAATAAATAATTTCTGGACTTTTGTTGACCGTACAACTGTAGTCCTCTCGGTCCGTCCTTTCACGTAAGAGTCAAACATTACGCGCACGCTTGCGAATGTGTTCATATTACAAGCCGACAGAAAGTTAAGACTTACGAACGTGTTCAATATGTTACTGTGCAGCTACTGATTCCAATATTTTTGAGATAATAATCTAATGTAAAATCCTTTACTAGGTTATTATGAACCAAAATGTGACCTACTTGAATACTTGGATGCATAGACGGCCTGTCTTCACTGGTTGGGTGGGACCAAGCATATTCTCCATTTTTCGGAGTTTTGCTAATATGGTTTAGCATTTGTTTCCGTGGAGTCCCAAAGTCTGTGGTAGGTCGTCACCACCCGGGGCAGTCGCCGCCGTTGTGGATCAGGGGGAGATTTGTTGCCATGCGAGTAGTTTGATACCAGGACGGTAACGGATCCTAGTATTGGTTACTCTGAGCTGAGCTCCATGATGGAAACGCAGGACTCCTCAGTCTAGGAGACCCTGGAAGGGGATGGGGGACGAATACCTCCGCTGAACATCGCTCTCCGACACCCAGGAACACCCTCCAGCCGCGAAGAGGAGGCTAACCGTTAAGGGGGAATGTGTACTAAATATACGTACATGATTAGTATGTCTGTAACTGAAACAACGTGGGCATGGAATGACAGATTGAGAATCTAATCGTTAGGTTAAGTTTGTGATTATGTTTTGGATTGAATAACTATCTAGTATGGAGAGTGATTAGTTGGACATTTTTGTTGCGTGCTAATGACATTGTGTGAGCGTCCTGAAGTGTTTGGTCATAGAATCTGAGCTGTGTTCAGTTGTTCGGCAAGAATAAAGTGTTGCTCATGTGTGAAAGTCTTAGACTGCTTCCAAATGGCGCTGGTATGGAGTTTATGTGTTGATACTGATTTCTTACTTGCTGGCCTACATTGTGGCATAAGGATAATTGCTAGTTTCTCAATTCATATTTGGCATTGCCCTAAGAGGTATTTTGTATTTGAAATAAATCGGGTAGGACTATAGTGTCGATGTTCTAAGATAGGTCTAGAGATAATGTTACTAGGTGAAAAACATGACCTCGGGCTTTAAAGAGGTGCGATGAAGATTAATCAATTTGGCTGTCCGTGTCATGTGTGGTACGGTGATAGGGTCGTAACTGCTTCTGTTCCTCGCGAGTGCCAAAGGAGTCTTAGGATGGTTGTTCTCTACGTAATGTCTACCATAATTGTGTTAATTGAACCATTGAGCAAACTTCTAGTTCCCAGGATCGGCTTTCTCTTGACCTCGGCACTGGAATATGAATGTGTCGTTTTTTTGTTCAGCAATCGCGAAGTTTTTAAACAGCATACATTTACTTCTATAGAAAAACACAATGCAATACAACACTAGCTGACGTTTCGGCAGTATCGCCTTCTTCAGAGCCACTTTTTCGTGACTTCCAATGAGGAAGTGTAGAACAGCTGATTATAGTCGCATATGGTTGACGACTGCCGACGACTGTTTAAAAACCTCGCGATTGCTGAACAAGAAAACGACACATTCAAACTTCTAGTGTTATTTCTTTCATTTATTCTTTTCAATCCTTCATCGTACATTGCGCTGATTGCAGCATTTCTTTTATTCGTTTTGCTGCTCCACATCAGTCACCAGAGAACGGTCTTCGAATTCCTGTCGGTTAAGTTCCTAGTAGAGAATGTCATGTTCCTCGTGGATGCTGTTGAATGCTAGTCAACTTGATTATGTTTGGAATTCTGAAGTAGCTATGTTGGAAGTGTTCTCTGGTTTTCACCACATTCAGTCTTTATGGCTTAGAGTGAGTTTTCCTGGCAAGTCAGGTACTACTTTGATGATACCGTGATGATAGCGAGGAAAGGGTTTAGTTGAATCAGTGCAGATTGCAACTACTGGGTCTTCTTTATGCACTGCATCTCTAACCACGACACTGCGCTCACCCTCAACTTACAAAGTATGATTAACAAAAGTAGGCTGAACAAATGTGAAGAATCAAGTGAGTTCTGGCATCCTCGCAGATGGTCCAATTTTTCACGTACCAATTTAGCTGATGCTTTAGTAATGAGAGGGTTGGTTAGCCCGTGGTATGGGATCAAACCAGCAATCACGTATGCGTTCTAGAGCACATCTAACTATGGTATACAACGCGTTTTATACAATTACCTAGTATAACGCATACCAAAACTTTCTAGCATGGTGTATATATAGAGAATATTCTGTACAGTAAAGGAAGCAGTATCCATACTCGTCATGCATTCATGATGATGGTGTCTTTTTGCGACTAATTCTGTTGTTGGAATGAATTAGACGTTCTTCGTTGTTGTTTTCTGCTTGGATACAACGACACTCATGAAAAAGACAATGTCTTCAAATGAACCCATAAACAAATCCGAACTGTTTAGTGGATGACGGATGCAAGACAATGAAGTGAGTGGAGGAAGAACTGATTTCCGAACAATTTCCCAACAAGTATCGGGTCGGCCTAAATTTAATAAAGAACACAATTCACCTGTATGGAGCACATAGAATGCCCAGTTTCTGTTTTCTGTTTTAAATTAAGGTTTTTCTGCGAAGCAGGAAAGCATAAAGGATGTCAACATAGCTAGATAAACCTTGTCGATGTGTATATAAGAGGTACACACTTAAAGCCTCATACGTGGGTAATTAAACCTTTACAAGTAGCAGTATTAACGAAATGAGACTAATAGGCGAAGTTAGTATAAGGAGGAGGTAGTTACGTTGGTACTATAAGAGACTTCTTAAATTTATTGTTGATGGTCGTGCGAGAGACGGTAAACATATACGAATACTATTCAACTAAGAAATACTACGGCTAAGTGGAAGTGTAATAGAAAGCTGAGTGGATCCAAAATTCAGTGATCAACAGCAGACAGAGATTGTGAATGTGTGAACGCTATGAAATCGTTGAGCTGTACGTCGATGAGGATTACAAGTGTATATAAGATGTAATAATAAATGAAAAAACCTGTAGGGATAACATGCGGAACCATTGGCCTTCACATGTTACGTGGTGAATGTTCCCACCTAGAAAGCGAAGGATACAGTGAAGCCGGTACATATACGACCGAGGGAAGCTTACGGCAGAAGTTGATTTCCTAATAAGCTAGAGGCAATAGTGAACATGGACTATGAAGACTGTGAAGAAGAGGTGAATGAGGTATTGAATACTATGATACAACAAACAATGACATTATAGCTGTTGGATTTTGATCTAAATATTATATGCGCAGGTGTTTATTGATTAATTTGTCCATAGTGTGAGCGTTTAGACCTTAAAGCTGAGATTCACCGAAATGATTACGCAGCTAAATGTTTCATCAATAATTCCATTACGATTCACAAAATGTGCAAAATAGTGATTCCTGTGGTCGACTTTCTGTTAATCTCGGCATTGGTCATTAATTCGCTGTTTTCTTTTTAAGCACACTCGAAGCTGTTATTGTACTATTTATTTATCCACAAAGGCTAATGTTTAGGCAGGTTTCGCCTTCTTTCGAGCCTAGAACGGTCAAGCTATCTGCAAGCTAGTCAGCCAAACTTCCGTAATCTCAACAGAAAAACCACCATAGCTAGTTTCCAATCGCATTCGATATGAAACAACTTCTTCACAGATTCATCGATCTCCATCAGTCCTCCCTCCACTGGGTGTGCCACGTGGAGCCCAACCGTACAAGGCTCACATGGTTGAGTAATGTCGTACGCGGATTCATATAACCACGATTTCTACCGTTAGAGCATATTTTGCGAGTTTTCCTTGTACATAGACGGTAATATAGGCGGTCACTAACCAGTTGGCGTCTGAGAGTGTTCGACGGTAATCCAACCAGTGCTGGATTTCTTTAAAGCTACCTTTCCCTTCAGCATCGCCTTATTGCTGCGCTTATTTCGTTGGAAATAAAGGGCAGGATAAACGAGACCTTATGCTAGAATTACAGTTGGGAGTAGGGCTTTTCTTTCACGGCTATCCCGAGGAGCTACAATTTCGTAACCATTGGAAATGCCTACAGGAAGGGTAATGAAGCAGTACGATTTGGTTACTTGGACTTCGGTACTACTTTATGTATTCTCCTTATTTGAACAATAATTGATGAGATGGTGAGCACTTCAAAGAAATAGAGGAATACCGAGGTGAACAAAACACCTCGAATCCTGGAATCATATCTGATTTCCTATTCCACTGGTAAGCTAACATTCTTTTAGGATGAAAAATTCTATACGGACTTCATGTTATTATAGCTGGTTAGCAAGAGAATATATGGATCGCATGCAGAGGTTGAAATAACATTGATTTTCAAAGTCTTTATTTCGTCATAAGTCAACCGATGTTGCATGAAGAGTTTTGTTCATGGAGACAAATTGTCACTAATCGGCAACCAGTGAACAAGCATTCCGCTTTGGGTAGCGTCTGGTATCACTTCGTTCATGAGGTTTCCCCATCATTCGACTCCATTCAATGCCTACAGGGCGACCCACATCGCAAGAAATGGCTGCTGTTGA